TTATTTTAAAATTTGATATTTAATTTATAAAAATATATATTTATAGCGATAAATCTGAAACGGTACACGAAAAATTTCGGTATCCGGTACGTATCGTTCCAGTAACAAAACGGTACGCATACCAGTATGGTATTAACTACTTTGCACTTAACTACTAGGAAACAGAGGCGGACAAGTAATATAATTTCTTTTAGTGGATTATAATTAGGTTAAATCTTCAATTTGTCCCTAAACTATTATACAGACCTTTGATTTGGTCTTTAAATTAAAAAAATCCTTAATTTGATCCCTAAACTATTGTACAGATCCCCGATTTGGTCCCTACTGTTTACCAATTTGCCCCAAGTTGGTCTTTATATACAAAAACAGCTGACGTGTTTTGTTATAAACGTGACACATGACCGTTAAATTACTATTTTTTGCCGTTAACTTACTCTTTTTTGCGGTTAAATACTAGACATGTCAGTTTTTTTTTTGTACGGAAGGACTAATTTGGGTAATTGGTAAACAATAATGACCAGATCAGGGTCTATACAATAGTTTAGAGACCAAATTAGAGATTTTTTTTTAGTTTAGAGACTAAATTAAGAATGTATATAATAGTTTAAGGACCAAATTAAAAATTTAACTTTATAATTATCCTCCGCGATTTATTCTCTAAATTTTGTATATTTATATATATTTCTGCAAATGTAGGTCCCTACAGCTACCACTAAAGTAATGATGTGAATCCATCTGATTCCCGAAAAATGGTGGAGCAGTTTAATGGACAGGTGACAAATATTCTCTGTTTACCTAATTAAAAAGTTTTAAAGAGCGTAGAGTAATTTAAATTATTAAATGAGTATAAATTTTTTAACATTAAAATTGTTTTTTCTTTCAATGATTTACTAATTTTACTGGTTTTAGATGCTATTCTCCATCTAATGCTTTTGTTTTCTTAGTTTGAGAGCAAAACAATAATTTAAAATTTAAAAAATTATAAAATACTAATTATTAAATTAAATTAGAGATGCTAGGCCTTAGGGATAGAACGAAAATCAGCCTCGGCGTTCCTATGACGTCCCTTCAGTGAAGTCAACCACGGCTTCTTCCCTCCTTGTTTATTTCGTTTCAAAAGGTTTATTATTATTATTATTATTGTTATTTATATTATTTTTTCAGTATTTAATAATCACTTCACAACCTAATTAATTTAGAATTGAAGTATGTTGGATTCCATTAGAAATGAAGTTCTTTCAATGTTTATTGTTTTATTAAGAAGACTCAACCTTATAATAAAGAGAGTCGAGTTCCTTCTGCTCGAATCAACGGTTATTGGTAAATTTATTTTTCCTTTACCATGAGGATTTTTCTTTCTTTTTGGTGCAAGTGTATATAGTTCATCATGATCTTTATTGTTCACTATAAGTATGTTCTAATTTCATAAAAGGACAAACTAAATATTATTTGCTAACATTGTATGTATGTAACAGCTTGTAAGACAAACCTGAAGAACTCGGCATCCCAGCATACATAGAAACAGAGGATGAATTGCCATTTAGTGTTGAAAGATACACCAATATGAGTTCCAGGCAAGGTGGAGAAATGTTGACAGAGATACCAGAAGGAGACGAATGGATTGCTCCAAATATTTGTGCAACTATTTGTAAACTTGTTCTCCCAAAATCTCCAAATTGCCCATTTCTGGTTGCCCTGTCCTTGGAAGGAAGCAAAGCTCTTATGGGTGTCCCCTCGTCGTTCATTGAGCACATGCATGTCCTTACACGCTTGAATTTGTCTCACACTAGTATCAGATCTTTGCCTGTGTCTCTTTTCAAGTTGGTCACTTAAAGAACTCAGTCGAAGGTACTACAAACTCTTCATGGAATTGTCACCACAAGTTAGACAACTTTATAATCTTGTTTTGCTTGATCTTGATGAGACTCAAATTGCAGACTTGCCGAAGGAGATTGGAGAACTTTCTAATCTAGAAATTTTGAGATTATCGCTTGATGGATACATGAATTGTGGAAAGCAATTGCAGGGAAATGTATTAATTCATCCCGGCACCATTAAAAGGCTCTCGCAATTGATGGAATTAAAAATTGGTGTGAATCCAGATAATGAAGACTGGAATGCGGTTGAGGAAGTAGTTGTAGAGGAAGCCTGTAGCTTGGAAAGATTGGAGCTTCTTATGTTATACCTGCCAAATGTTCAGATTTAGGGAAAACGCAGAACAGGTAACACATCACTCAGTTATTATCCCTTGCATAAATTCAAGTATACTGTTGGGCAGCATAGACAGCGTCTCATCTCTCGAGTACCAGAAAAAGTTGAAGTTCACTTTCAAAGGTGGGACAAATGCTTGAAATTTGTTAAGGGCAATGATATCTCAAGTGAGATGAAATGGGTAGTTGGATACCAAAAAGCATTCTACCTTGAACGTCATGCCACTGCTAAAAGCTTGTGTGATTTTGGGATAAATAATGAGAAGAACCTAAAGTTTTGCTTATTGGAAAAATGTAATAAAATCCAAACCATCATAAATGAAAGAAAGTCCTATGAAGAAGAAAAAATTGATATAGTTGAAGATAAGGTGAACGGTTGTGAGTCTGGAGTTGAGGCATATTCTGCTCAAGAACCTATAGTTTTGAATCTCCAATACCTGCATGTATATTACCTGAAGAATTTAGCGAGCATTTAGAGATGGCCCACCTACGATAAGCAGTGTCTATCTGGCTCGAAAGTCCTAGAACTCCATATGTGCTCCAAATTGAGTGTCCTTTTCTCATTAGCTTTGCTCACTAATCTTGGCAAGTTGGAGGTGCTTCTAGTTGAAGACTGCCCTAAATTGACCAGTGTTGTAAGCCCAACAAGTAGTGCATCCTTTGAGTTATCACAAGATTTTTTTCTGCCTAGCCTGAATTATTTGAATTGTTTTCTGCCTAGCCTGAAGATGATGCTACTTCTTTTCCTTCCGAAATTGGAAAGCATTTCTAGTGGCTTTCACATTGCACCAAAACTGGAAAAGATAGGAAATGTCAAGTGAAAATTTGATAGTGATCAAAGGAGAAAGGGAGTGTGGGAAGCATTGGAATGGGAAGAGTCAGAGTGGAAAAGTCAGCCGATTATCTCCATAGCATTTTCTCCCCAATTGATAAAGACGATGATGTGATGATACAAATGCAAGAGATGTATAACTCTGGGTCCATTACCAATCAGGGGATAGTAGGGCAAGTGGTAAATTCCACTTGATTTCCCCTAGATAATAGCGTCGGGTTGGTTAGAACCTCAACCTAGTGTTCACAAAACCAAGACGTCTGTGATCTTGGTTGCTTAGATATCAGATGAAGTCATAGAGGCAGTGCTGAATTTAAGCCTTCGAACTTCACTTATGGTTTGTTTTATGAAAAGCAGTTTGAAATTTGTAATTATATGTTACGTGATCTGGGCCAACCACTGAATATTGAGGACATATTTTTAAGTAAATTCTGATGTCAGAGTATTTGCAAGATTGGCTTTAATAGCTGTGTAAATATTTTTGCTTTCCTCTTAATAGCCACATGCACTTCATTCTCCACATTCTGAAAGATTTTATGTCTAATGCTGGTTTCATTTTGGTTATCATAAATTTCAAAGTTTATTGATTTTGCTTGTTAGCAATTTTGTCAGTTAGGTGTTGATATCAACTGAGTAAACTAGTGATGTTTTCTGGATTCTATTTATGCAATCCCTTCTAACCCAATAGCAGGGAAGGGATTTTGTTGCTAATGTCTTCTTGTTGAACACCGAATTTTAAGCAAATTAAGGTCACTTTTATCGTACATGCAGAATCTTAAGATTAAAAAGAACGAAAATGCTACACTATCATCAATTGTGGCGTAATTCTTGAAGTTTATTAAGGCGGAGTATTCCCGCTGGAATGAAAGGTTTACTTTCAAGAATAACAACATCACCACCTAGACTATCATGACAAAGCTACAAGTTTGTCTGATTTGGGATCAAACGTATGTGGAATCTAAGTTTCGCTTACTGTCAGAATGTAACGAAATCCAAACTGTCATTAATGGAAGAGGGTCGCAAGAAAGTGTGCACTTGAATTTTGCACTTTCGAATATGCAATTCTTGCACACATATTACTTGAATTTAGAGAGCATTTGAAGAACCTCGAACTACAATCAGCTATGTCTCTCATTTACACTGGCTTTTAGCAGCTAGTAGAAGTTCCTTCTGAAGTTAGGAAACTAAATCTTACTAGTACTCCATAAGATCTTCAAGATTCCTGGAATATTTGATTCAAGTACTCGTTAATTAGAATTTCGAAAATTGACTTGAATTGAAGTTAGGAAACAAAGTGAAGTTGCCAATTCTTTGATATGGTGTTGATACTACGACGTTTCAAACAAGGTCGCAGCCGTGCCTCCCAATTGAGGGTGTAGAACCTTGACCAAAGGTTTGGAACCTTTTTAACTGTTATTGTATACCTTGCTCCTACGGTGTCAGCGTCTTAGTCAAAGGTGTGAATACCTTGCTTATTCAAGGCAAACTTCAACTTTGATAATTCAAGGTACGTTCTCAACATTTCTCACCCCATATTTTGATAATTTATGAGACCATTTATTTTCAAATCATCTCAAATAGAATATTTCGCTCCCATCCCATTATTATTATTGTTAGTTTGTCTTTGATTTCTTTTTAAAACTTTTCACTTCATATGTTTTCTATTCCAAATCTCAACTCTTTGTTTGTTATTGAGATACTTCATTAAAAATTAAGAGAAATAATTAATGACAGGATCAAAGCAGTAGACAAACAAACCTAGGCGATGGTGGATGAGTTCTACAGGCTTTTTGTATGGATATATGCACTGTTTTTGGACCTGGCTCGGCCCGGCTGGTTGAACCGGTTGAACCGGACCCGAACTTAAAAACGGTTCGGGTGCATCCCTCAACCCGTTTTACTATTTGACCTGCTCCAACCCGGTCGACCCGCTCAACCCGCTTGGCCCATTCCACCCAGTACACCCGCCGGGCTGCACCTCCTCTCTGCAATTGATTCATTTTTTTCCATTTGAAAGGTAATATACCTATTTTATCCTACCTTTTTAATATTATTACATAAAAATCCTTAAATTTCGATTAAAATTAGATAAAAAAAAAACCCTAATAGAGGGTCAAAACTGAGAAAAAAAAAAAAACAAAGCTGTCGGCACTCGGCAGCCACCCAGAAGAACCAGAATACTCTGCAGAAAATAGAAGTAATTTAGAGACACCAAAAGGTTCGAACCAGAGCAGATCTTCCTCCACCGACCTCCCTGCCCCCAACCACCACCGTTGACAGCCCTTTCCAGCCCTTGGTGGCTCATCTTCCTTCCCTTCCTCCACCAACCAGCAGCAGCTTCAACAGCACCGAACAAAGTAGCAGCACAGAACAGAGCCATAGCAGCAGAACAGATCTGCATCTGCTCTCAACCACCACCATCAGCAGCCCCTTCCAGCCCTTCGCGGCTCAACTTCCTTGCCGGCCACTGAACAGCAGCAGCTTCTTCACCGAACAGAGCAGCATCTGTTGCTCACCTTCCTCTCCTTCCCAGTGGGTAGAAACCCCTTCTTCATCCACCGAACCAAGCAACAGTAGCAGCAAAACAGAGCAGTAAAAATAAAATGAAAGTAGTACATAATGGCGAAATCAAATAAATATGTGAAAAAAAAAGTGCTTTTTAGTTGACCGGTTGAACTAGTCGAGTGAACCAGTTCAATCGATTCAACCGGACCCGGTGACCAAACTGGGTCAATCATCGGGCCAGGTCCAAAAACATTGGATATATGGTTGAATTTTAGTGGGGGCTCCGTTGTGGGCACTAGTGTGTATTGAACAACCATAGAGATTGGTGCTCCAGATTTAGAGCTGAATATTGAAGCATGCAACTAGACACTATTTGTAACTTGCAACTTTACGAGGGATGATATGTTGGTAGAAAGTCCAACCCCATGTGAACAAATGGACTTTCCTATGGTAAAATTTCTTCACCAACCTAGCTAGTTGTGGGTTAGCATTTGCTTTGTTGAAATCAAGCAAAATTGCATGTTGACCAATTTAATGGGCAAAGAAAAATGGTGCATGGGTGGTTGGATTTTTCACTATAAGCACCCATGCATGCAAAGGCAATGGGCAAGCAAGGTTGAGAGCAAGCAGGATAAGAGCTAAGTGAGTGGGTGCTCTTGTGCAAAAAAAGAAAGAGAGAAACTATGAATAAATCCTTGTGAAGATTAAGAGAGAGTATTAGAGAGAATTTGGGAGCTTCTATATATTGAAGCTTAGGATGTTGAGAGCTTCTTAAGTGAGAGAGTTTCTAAATTATTGTACTCTTTTTTTAATAGTGGATTTATTTCTCTCTTTTCCGTGGATGTAGACTTGTTGAGAGGTGTACAAGTCGAACCACGTTAAATTGTTGTCTCAATTTCTTTATCTCTTCCATTTGTGTGGGATTGTGGTGCTCCAAAATTCCCAACAAGTGGTATCAAAGCTATTGGTAAAGCTCCTGATGTTGTGGCGAAATGCAAATTGAAGCCATGAAGTATTCAATTGAGCTGTTCGTGGCAAGAATGACTTTGCTCTTTAGCAAAGCACCATGAAGGATGTCCTTACTTGTTAAGGACTTGATGCAGCTTTAGAAGAGACCAAGCCAGTTGAGATGAAGGATAGTGATTGGACTACTATCCAAAAGAAGACAACAAGTCAAATTCGGCTAGCACTTGCACCGGAGGTGATATACAACGTTCTTTCAGAGACTACTCCAATAGGCATGTGGAAAAAGCTAGAAGAGATATATGCTTCAAAATCTTTAACCAATCAACTGTGTTTAAAAGTGGAGCTATATTAATTGAAAATGGTAGAAGGCACTAATATTCACAAGCACTTATCTGATTTCAATATGATGGTGACACAAGTAGTGAATGCTAGGGATATTCTAGAAGAAGAGGAGAAAGCTTTGCTTTTACTTGCATCCCTACCTAAGTCTTACAAGTCCCTAGTGCAGAGTATGCTGGTGGGGAAGACTACTATGGTGATGAAAGATGTCACAACCATCTTGTTGGAGAATAATAAGTTTCTCGAGGAGGATGATGGTGCCAATCAAAATAATGCTTTGGTGGTGGAGCAATCTCAGGGGAGATCCTATCGATGTGGAAGAAATCGAGAAAGGTCAAAATCTAGAGCTAAGAAGGATTATGGTGAAGTGGAGTGTTTTTATTGTGGTGAGTTGAGTTGCAAACAGTATAAATGCCCGAAGTTTAAGAAGGATTTTTCTAATATGAAAATATTAATGAAAAGTCAAAAAACCAAGGGAAAGGGGGAGGCTAATATTATTGAAGGAAATGTGGTTGAAGTATTAGCTTATGAAGAGTGTGATCTTGAGGTGGAGCAAAACAGTCAACGATGGATTTTGGACTCTACTACAACCATGCATGTGTGCAATAATCCTTCTGAATTTGTAAGTTTGGTTCAAGGGGAGCTTGGCAAAATAACGGTGGCTACCGATGAGAAGGTGAATATTGAAGGCATAGAAGATGTTCTTCTCAATGTTCATAATGGGAGAGCAAAGATTCTTAAGAATGTGAGATATGTGCCCAAGTGTTCAAGCAATATTATTGCTTTGAGTGAGTAGACAACACGAGGGTGCAATTATGTTGGAAAGCGAGAATGGTTCAAGGTTTACAAAGGTAGAAGACTTGTTCTACACGGAAGGAAGAACAAGCACAACATCTATGTGCTTGAGCAACATCCTGAGAGAGGGCTTAACAAGACCATGAGGAAGATGGTGTGGAAGCTTAAAGGGATCTTGGTAGATGGCAAGGAAATTAATAAAACCAAGAAGAAGGTGAGCTTCAACAATGAACTCGTCTTTGATGATGGTTCAAGGAGATGTGATTCTTTCTCAGATCAAATCTTGGTTCAAAATTAATTTATGTAGTGTACCTAGTGTAGGTTTGTCCTATCCTATACTAGGAGGAAACTCTCAAAAATGGGACACCATGATGAAGTGTTCTTGAGCAGGGGGAGCTGAATTATGGTAATGTTGACGTGTATGGAGTCATGGTTGGTTTCTCCTCCCATGGGATTGGAAGGGGAGATTGTTGGTAGAAAGTCCAACCCCCATGTGAACACATGGACTTTCCATGTGGTAAAATTTCTTCACCAACCTAGCTAGTTGTGGGCTAGCATTTGCTTTGTTGAAATCATGCAAGATTGCATGTTGACTCATTTAATGGGCAAAGAAAAATTATGCATGGGTGGTTGGATTTTCACTATAAATACCCATGCACGCAAAGGCAATGGGCAAGCAAGGCTGAGAGCAAGCAAGGCTGAGAGCAAGCAAAAGAAGACCTAAGTGACTGCTCTTGTGAGAAAAAAGAAAGAGAGAAATTGTGAGAAAATAGAAAGAAAGAAATTGTGAAAAAATCTTTGTAAAGATTAAGAGAGAGTATTAGGGAGAATTTAGGAACTTCTATAAATTGAAGTTAGGATATTAAAAGCTTCTTGGATAAGAGAGCTTTTAAATTATTATTTTTTTTAATAATGAATTTATTTTTCTCTTTTCTGTGGATGTAAACTTATTAAAAAAAGTACAAATTAAATCATATGAAATTATTATTTTAATTTCTTTATCACTTTCATTTGCGTGAAACTGTGAGACTTAAATTTCCCAACATGATAGAGGTTGACTAAAATTGCCTAGCTAGAGCAATGTCTTTTGGGCAGTTTCGAGGACGCTGCATATGATCTTCCTTACAGAAAGTAATTTTCTCAGCGGGCCAATTAGCAGTGTGCAGAGAATGTCTTTTTTTCTTTTTCTTTTTTTTTTCTTTCTTTCTTTTTACTAAAAAAATATAATAATAATAATAATAATAATAATAATATCCACTTACACAAGTCGAACAACCAACAAGAAACGTGTAGTTTTAATAATATAATTTTAATTATTAAGTAAAAAAATATTTTAACATTAAAATTTTTATCTGATGCTGGAGTTTTTAATTTCACCTAATAATTCTTACTTTATCTCTTACAATAAAACAGAACTGTCAAACAAACCCAAAATCTTTCTACGTACTAGCTGCCCTCGTTTCCCACCGACTAAAATTTAATTTTTTTTTTAATTTTAAAAAAAATTATTTTAACTGATGGGAACAGGTATCTCTTCGGTAGGAGAATTTGTGACAGCGGTCTACTTTACCATTTAAGTATGACAATAGTTTGGGCTAAATTAATATTTATTAATTAAAAATTTATTAATTTAAGATTAAGATTAAATACTTAAACTTTTATATAGTTAAGTAGTTAATTTTTGTTATAAAAAAAAAACCCATTTATCTTTTTAAGTATTCCTTTTCTTTTCTTTCTTCTAAGCACATAAATATTTTCCTATACTTTAATTCTATTGTAGGAATGTGGAAAACTAATAATAATGAAAAAGATTAAAATAGTCTTAATAAATTAGCATAGAAAAAATTTATTAAGTATTGAATAATTTTATAAGAAATTTTAACATTTAAAGTGCAATGATGTCTTGATTTTTTTTTTTTTTTTTCTATTGTTGAAGTTCACATGTTAATTTTTATGCGTTATTAGAACTCAAGTTTCACTTTTTGGAAGTTCATTGTTAACTTATTTGATAAGATCCAAAGTTGATGCCAAATTTACATATAAAAGAGCATAGTAAATCACATAATATACCTCAGCCTTCATAACAAAGCTGCATATGACACATGAGGAGACGTACTAGTTGAAAAAATATTATATTGAGTATATAACAAAAAGAATACATGAGTTAAATCAACTTCATTTTTTATTAATTAATTTTAAATTAAATGCAAATTTTATATTCAACCTTACATATTAATTTTTACATCTATTATAATTTTCAAATTTACTATAATTTTCTAATTTACTTTAATTAAACATCTTATTAAAAAACTCTATTTTTCTATCTCTTTTTTAAGAATAATTATAGATAAACACATCAATTATATCTGAATTCATAATTTAAAAAAATTCAAAAAAAGCACAACTAATGAATTGAATATGAAAGAATAATTCCTTTTTTCGTAAATATAATTTTTATCGATTAGTTTTCTCTGATCTTGACTTCATTTACAATACATAAAAATGATGTGCTGTTCCGTGCAGATCTATTGTTTTATCCATACGATATTAAACTATCGCCTCGAGTTGTATAAAACAACTTCAAACGACTAATAAAAAGGGTTTGTTTCTATTGAGAATTTATGAAATTCAAGCACTAAAAATTATTTTTTAATATTAAATGATTTTTTCTATAATTGTGCAAATGCATAGTGAGATAATTAAATAAAGACTTTTTTAATAAATACCTTAGGCATAAATTAAGATGCGATAAATATCTTTTAATATTAATTTATATAGAAAAAATAAAAAATTATTTTAAAGTTGAACAATGCAAGAATGATTGTAAAGTTAAATGAAAAATATATCACTCTTTTTGAGATTTTTAATAATTGGTGCTTATTTAATTGTACTTGTAAAAAGGGAAAAAACCGTAAAATTTTTAAAAATACAATATGTATTAGCCTTAAAAACATATGAAAAATAAGTAGGAATTTACTTACATATAAGTTTTATGCATTACTTTTATACAAAATCTTAATTATTAATTTTTTTACTTTCAATGATTAAAATTTATTTACATTTATTAAAAACAATTATCTTTTTTTATCCAAAAAGTTACAATAAAGCTTAACAATTGAAAGTGAATAAATAAATTGTTAAGTTTTTATATAAATGTGATATGTAAAGTTTATGTATAGGTAGATCTCTCTTCATAGAAAATTAGTATGGCAAATGACAAAATAAAATAAACATGTTTGACTCAAAAAAAAAAAAAAGAGAAAAATTCTAAAGCTATAGTATATTTGATTTAAGGGGAATGGAGGGGATGGGAGGATTTTTGATAAGTCAAATTATAATATTTATAAACATTATAAATTAATTGATCAGAAAATCCTTCTCCCCTCTTCATTCTCCTTAATTAAGTCAAATATACCCGATAAAATTTTAATTTTTAATATTGTAAAAAAATAAGTTATTGTGAATTCAATTGAATATTTTAAGTCAATTCTATGCTCTAAAAAAGTTTCAAAATTCTAGAATTTTTTCAAAATAAAAAAATGCAGGAGGGAGTATAGGGAGGACAAATGTTAAAAGTTTTAGAGGTATTTTTGGCAAAAACTATTAGAGATTACAAAAAAATTTCTTATGCTTAATGAATCAATTTAAAAATTCACTAATTGTCATGTTAATATTCAGTTATGAATGCAAGAACAAATACAATGAAAAACTAATGGTAATTATTTTTCTAAATATTAACATAATAACGTATATAAAGTAAAAATTAAGGATTAGAATCATAACATAAAAAGCTTGTGGACTAATTTTAAATTTTTTTAAAAGACCAGGGGGGCTATGGCCTCGCTGGTCCATGCATAGCTGCGCCACGGCATGGAAACAGCTTGATCCAGAGCTCTAATTAAGATTTCAGGTTATAAATTGTAAATTTAGTGTCTTTTAGACTTTCAATTGAAACATAGGGTTCACCTCCACTAATAAACTAATTAAACTATTAAAGACAAACATTCTCATATTATTGGCTACTGATTCCGTCAGTTAATTTTCAAGCTATAGGAAATAGACAACAATCTGATGACAATAACTCCATTACACCAATACAAGAAGTATTCATGCTGAATCTCCAAGCCAGTTGTTCAAATAACACGCCATAAGCCACACATAAAAGAAAGTATCATTAGTTGCCAGGTCTGAATAAGTTCCCAAAGACCAAGATTAACATTACATTAGTTGTAGAAACATAAGACATGATTAAAATAGGACATGAAAGTGAAAGAGCACAAGACACAAGCACAGCATTCTTGCTAAAATGACAAAAAGGTAAAACTAATTATTAGGCTTCCAAATAGCCATCTACTGATGCAGCTTTCCATCATTTCCTCTTTCCAACTTTTTCTCTTAAGCACAGCTTAAAATAATTTAATCTGAACCAGCTTCAAACCTGAGAATGCCAGAGGACTGGAAGTGCCTTTTGAATTCATTGTTTGGCAAGTCATTCCACCATGCTTGTTGCCCTCTGATCAACTTTAACCAAGCGGCATTTTCTTTGTTGAAAGGAAGTTCTTTCAGCTCATTACACTGAACTATTCGAAGTTCCTTTAACTTGGGCCATGCCAATGATTCATCTGCGCATATGTTTTTTAACTTTTTCATGTCAACTAATTCCAAGACCTCAAGACTTGACATTGATCCACTGCCACCGTAACCCTTAATCAACTGAGTAATATCATCACAGCTCTCAACTGTTAATTTTAAGAGTTGTGGGAGTTGCTGAATTAGGCCATTTGAAGATATCTCCGTCAACTTAGGGCAACTTTTCACCACTAATGTTTGCAATTCGGAAAGACTGCCACCTGACAATGGGCCCGCAAAAATACTTTTCAAATGTGTCAAATTCCTTAAATGTAATTGTTGCAAAGATGGAAGGATGTCTCTGCCTCCTGCATTATTTCCATTTATAATAGTTTCCATGTTGTTGCATTGTTCAACCAGGCAACCAAAAACGCCATTAAGGCCTTGAGCTTGGATGAAGTCTGAGAAACATGGAATATTGTTATTGCAACTCAAATCCAATGCATCTGTAGTAGGAAATCCATTATAAATGGTGGAACCATTATGATGCCCGTTATAGTTGTATCCCAAATATCTTTCTATTGGATGATTGAAATAGTCTAGAATTTTAGGATGACTATTTTGGCTACCAATAGAAAACTGAAATGAAGATAACGGCTGGCAAACCTGACATTCTTGCCTTCTTTCCATCAAAGTCCGGAGGTCCTCTGGTTTTGGAAAGCACATCTTGAGAGAAGTTAAATTCTTCAAGGAAGCCACCTGCTGAATAACATTTCTAGCCTCAGTGCACCACTGATCATAAGAGAGCACATCAATTACCAGTTCCTCCAATTTGATAAGCTTTGAAATCACATTGTAATGTGTCTTCTTTCCTCCATAGCCATTCCTCATGACTGGTTTATAGTATGAAACCCGGAAACACCTTAGCTGGCCCAACTTTTTAATAGAAGATGGTATGAAGATTACCTTGCAGCCTCGAATATCAAACACCTCAAGATGACAAAGTTGTGCAATTTGGGAAGGCAACGTAGAAAAACTCTCACAATCATTTAAAAATAGTGCCTTGAGTCCTATCAACTTTTTAAAGGAGTCCGGCAGAGATGTTATTCCAGTTTGGCACAAGTTAAGAACTAGAAGCCTCTCCATTGTTTCAAAAAATAACGGAGGAATTGCTTTCAAATCAGGATTCTTTTGTAGAAGCAGTGACAAAAGCATGCTGCATGTTGGGCTTCTTGGCAAGTGCTCCAGTTTTGCATCAACATCAATCATAAAGATTCTTGTTGCCTGTTCCCAATCATTATTCATATGGGAAGCAGGTGAAGTTTCAGTTTCATCTCCAATTAGAAATTCACCAGCATGGTCTTGTGAGGAAATACGGAGGGCAACTTGTCGTACCACCTTGTTCACTGTGACACTTCCCATCCTCTTATCTGCCTGCAACAACGAAACATTTATTAGATGTCCTAATATGTCATAGCCTTTATCGCATGCACTGTAGAAGCTCCCATTGTGAACAATATTGCCACATAACTTTTCAACTGCCCAGCACACCACCAAGTAGTCCGAGGATATCATTGTATCTGCAGGATGTAAAGCAGTATAAAGCAAGCATCTCTTTTTCTCATCTTCCAAATCATCATAACAACACTTTAGGGATTCATGTATTTCTGTTAAACCCGTAATCCCAGCTGTTAACCCCTTTCTGAGCTCTCTCAAACCATTCCTCCATTCAGCAGCACACACTTTAAATTTAAAGTAACTGGCCACTATCTTGATCATGAGAGGGAGTCCACCACATTCCTCAGCCACCAACTCAGCATGTTGTTTAATGCCAGGAATTTTAAATTTTTTATCAGTAACTATCTGTTTAAACATCTCCAAAGCCTCACTTTGAGTTAATCTTTTGACCTCTATCTCACTAATTGATTCCATCCCACAGCAAAGTCTAAGCTTTTCAGTTGTCAAAACCACTTTGCTACCATTTAATTTGTTATCAGGGACTCCAATATCCTTGAGTTGATCTTGATTAATGACACCCCTTACGTCATCTAGAAGGATCAAGTATTTTGTAGCTTTCAACTTTTCTGATATTCTTCTAGCAACTTCCCTGTCAGTTTCAGTGCCTTGCAAATTCAAATTAAGCCGACTTGCTATCCCCATCTGCAGCTTTTCCATTGTCCTCTCCTCTGACAACTTTATCCAAATTACTATTTGAAACCGCCCAGCAACCTCTTCCTGATTATTCAAGTATTGCATTATTGTGGTCTTCCCAACTCCCAATGGCCCCCAAATCACAACAGTCTTCACTTCTTCATCACTTAGCAAAGATAAAATGTCCTCCAAAGGGCGTTTAAGTGTGGCAAACTTTGTGATGTCTGGTACTGAATCTATCATTACAACAGGTTCTGGAGGTTGATCAACAAGAAATTCTTCTGTAAATTTTCCCTGTTCTAGAAACCTGTCGACCCTATCCAAATAACTTCTCACCTTTTCATGAAGGATTGATCTAATGGAACAGTCTTCCAATAAATTCCTGTGTTTTTCACATTCAGTTTGTAATTTCTCTAGGTCTGAAACAATTCTAGGCACTCTAATATGCCACTCATTGTAAAACCTAGAGGTTCTTCTGGTATGATTTTGGAATCGCTTGATTTTCTGTTCATTATCATCTCTTAGCGCCAAAAGCATCTTTGCTGCATCCTTTAATAATTTAGAATAATCCTCCGGTTCTATTCTTTGTTCATTAAGATAATTCACAACTGCTTTAATACCATCTGACATAAGACTGCCACTTCCATCAGACAGTACACTGTGCAGAAAGTCCATTGGCCTGATTAAACTCAAACCCTGCAATTAGTTGTGAAAAATAGAAGATTAAATGCAATTTCAAATAGTACAACAGTAACTCAACAAATTAGAAATTAAATGTACAATTCAATCAAATATACGACATTTTACAATATCCAAAAATAAACATTTGTTAAAATTAAATGTACAATTCAATCTAATATATGAGGTTATACAATATCCAATAAAACACATTTTTAGGTAACTCTCCTAACCGTTTTAACACGAAGGCACACCCTAAACTCCATTTGGGACAAACCATGGTAAGCGGTGGTAGTTGTTTAAATTTACTGTTTAGATATAATTAATAATTGATAATTGATATTTGATAATTAATAATTATTTTTATTTATAATTTAAAGAATTTTGTTCGTTTGATTAGAACCAAAGGCGGTTTGCCAAACGGCAAAAAGGACAACTTGGCCCCTGCTCCCGTCAAATGGTAGCAAATCAGCACTCATCTCACAGCTGACGTCACTAAAATGTTAAATCCTAACGGAGACA